GATTCCCAGGCACTGAGCATCCCCACATCCCAGGCATGGCCCCACACACCATTCCGTCCGTCCTCCAGCTGATTGATGTTGAGAGCCCATCTGGGGATGAGGCAGCTACAGCTCAGAGAGGTGATGCTGCTTACCTTCTCCTTCCTCTAGGTCACCCAGCTCCTCAGTGACAAAGCCAGGGAGTGGGGGTGGGGTAAGGGGCCCACCTCCCAAGCCCGGGTCTTCCCTCCTGTGCTATAGACAGAGTGTCAGCAAAGTGCCAGGCACCCAGTGTGCATTCTGTAAACATCAGTGGTGATTGTCTCAGAAGACGGAGCAGCCCCAGAGGCCTATGGGGCAGGAAAGAGGCTTTGAGGAAACACCTCCCCAGGGAGTCCATTCCCAGAAACCTGAGAACGGGCAGGTGGGAAATGCCGTGGGGAGAGATGGCTTAAGGACCCCCACCCCACAGATACCCTGCCAGCTCTGGGACCATCCAGACCCCTGCAAGGGTGATGAGTCCTCTCCAGCATATATAGGGCAAGGGGAGTGAGTTTGCATTCACAGGGGGATTTGTAATGAGACCGAGTACATATTTAGTAAAATACAAATCTTAAGTGATGAATGTTTACCTGTGTATACAGCTGTGATCAATGTTTAAGAGATTTGTATCTCCCCAGACTGTTCTCTCCTGCCTGTTGCCAGTCAATACCCCCTCCCCAAAGGTACCCACTGATTTCTATCACCATAAATTAGATTTTCCTGTATTTGCATTTAATGTAAATGGACTCATATAATATGTACTTTTGTGTCTGGCTTCTGTCACTCAACACAATGCTTTTGCTACTCAGCCGATGTTGCTACATTGATCAGTGTACCACAACTGGTTTATCTGTTGACCACTGAAGGACATTTGGGGTGTTTCCAGTATGGGACTATTGTGAGCAAAGCTTCAACAGTCTGGAGTGGGAGGACAGAGAGGAGTTGGGGGAGGGGCACGGGGAAACTTTCGGGGTTATCGGACATGTGCATTTATAGACTTTAACTATGCGTAGCTTATCCTATGTCAATTATACTTTGATACAGCGGAAAAAAATATGATCAATGGCCTTTAGATATTGTTTTAGCCACATGATTCTTTATTCACACACATTTGGGAAGCTCAATATATAATAGAGGTAAAGCCTGAGCTGCTTCTGTTAAATAATGGGGTGGGGTTTCTGGACACTACCCATGCAGCTTCCCCTTGTCCCTTACAGTATATCCCTGAAGCATCTCCCCAGAGCTCCACAGAAGCCAATTTGAAAAACACTATCCCAGATGGTATCTGATGGCCCTGCCCGGGTGTTCTTGACATAAGAATCTCCAGGCCTGGGTCTGGTCTTCCTGCCCATGCCCACTCTTCATCGCAGTACGGATCCCACACACAGCTCTTTTCTATTGCACTGCCCAGGTGACAAGCACCAACTCACTTTCACTTCTAGGCCAACAGTCACCTCCCCAGCCAAGTGTAGTGGTGGCTCCCCAGGGACACTTCATGCATTTGGGCTCCCCCTGCTTCCTGGGGTGGCTCTCACCAACTGTGCGGCTGTGGTTGTTGTAATCTGTCCATCTGCCACTGAGCAGGGATGGCACCTCTGGCCTGGCCCGAAGCAGGCACTCAACATATGCTGATTGAATGGGTCTCAGCCCAGCCCCTTCTAGAAAGTGCTACTGGGGCCAGAGTCAGTCACCTCTGCAGCCTCCTCTCTCCCCACTTTCACCTCACGCCATCTGTTTCAGCCCCTGGCCTCCTCATTGCTCCTCAGAAGCCTCGGGGATACTCCCCTTCAGGCTCTTAGCATTTGCTGCTCCTTCTGCCTGAAACCTCTTCAATATACTTAACTGGCTCCTCTCTCGCTGAATTCAGGCATCTGCTCAAACATCACCTGCTTACAGAGTTCTCCCCTGACCTAAAGTAGCTTCTTCCTGTCTGTCTCTATCCCCCAGGTCGCCTTACTTTATGTTCAGAGTACTCATTACCATCGGACTTTGGGGGAGTCCCCTCCATACCCCTGGCAGGAGGAATCCAAGCCCGTCTGTGATGGGGCAAGAACTCCACGAAGCCATGTACTTCCAGCTCTTTCTAAGCAAGATACAGTTTGGTCTGCAGTGAGAAGGATGTAGGTTAGACAGGGAGCATGCCTCTGCCCTCCCTGACATCACAGCATGGACACACTGTGTGATCAGGATTTGGCTCCCCCACTCCAGAGTTGATACACAATGTCTGATTCATCTGTATTCTCAAGGTGGGACGAAGGGTCTGCCCTAGGAAATGATGAAAGAATCCCTGCTGAGAATTAATCAATGGATGTAAATCAATCCATTCATTCAACAAATAATTACTGAGCAACTACCATGGGCCAGGCACTTTTTAAAGAGCTGCACATACAAAATGACAAAGTCTCTGCTCTCCTGTGTCTTATGTTGTAGCTGGAGAGACAGACAATGAGCAAGGAATCATATAACTGTTGGGAGAAGCAATGGGCCATGGGCCCTGCACATCCCTGCGGGTTCCTGCTGGGAATGCCAAGAGAGCAAGGCCCTCAAAGCTCTCTACCCAGACTATTTCTCAGGGTTGTGTTTGCAGCAAGCAACCGTGAGGGAGGAGGTGACATCTCCCCCCACCCCAACAAAGAACAGGTATGCCTACCACTTGCTATTAAAGCGGCGAATCTCCGGGCGCCTGGGTGGCTCAGTCGTTGGGCGTCTGCCTTCGGCTCAGGTCATGATCCCGGGGTCCTGGGATCCAGCCCCGCATCGGGCTCCCTGCTCAGCGGGAGGCCTGCTTCTCGTCTCCCACTCTCCCTGCTTGTGTGCCCTCTCTCGCTGTCTCTCTCTCTGTTGAAAAATAAATAAAAATCTTAAAAAAAAAAAGCAGTGAATCTCTAATCCCTGCGTTCCTCTTCTATACTGCCATCCATGAGTTCTATAGGGCTCCATGGTGGGTCCTTTGCAGGGCTCGGGGGACATGGGGTACTGACACAAACACATGTAAAGCCCCTGCTACTGTTTTTACCATGAGTAATAGGAAACAAGCTAGACAAAATCCTTTGTCTCTTACTCAGGAGTTTCATCCATGAAACAGTAACACACTATTACTAAACAGTAATAAACAGTAACAGTTTATTAGTTTGTAAATACTGTACAATCTCCGAGGCTGTACAGTTCCTGACCACATGTGAAGTGGAGATTAGTGCTGTTGAGAAAAATAGAGCAGAAAAAGGAAGACAAGGAGCATGGGGGAGGGGCGCCTGGGTGGCTCAGTTGGTTAGGCAACTGCCTTCGGCTCAGGTCATGATCCCAGGGTCCTGGGATCGAGCCCCGCATCGGGCTCCCTGCTCGGCGGGAAGCCTGCTTCTCCCTCTCCCACTTCCCCTGCTTGTGTTCCCTCTCTCTCTGTCTCTCTCTGTCTCTCTCTGTGTCAATTAAATAAATAAAATCTTTAAAAAAAAAAGGAGTATGGGGGAGACTTGATATTTTTTAAAGACAATGGAGGTTTTCTTTGATAATTTATTATTATTATTTTTAAGTACACTCTACCCCCAAGGTGGGGCTTGAACTCACAACCCCAAGTTCAAGAGTGGCATGCTCAACCAACTGAGCCAGCCAGGCTCCCCAAGACTTGCTATCTTAGATAGGATTGTTAAGAATTCCTAAGGCCCCTCTAAGAATTTTTTTAATTAAAAAATAAAAATTAGGGGCGCCTGGGTGTCTCAGTCCGTTAAGCAACTGCCTTCAGCTCAGATCATGATCTCAGGACCCTGGGATTGAGCCCCATGTCAGGCTCAGCTGAGAGTCTTCTCCCTCTGCCCCTCCCCCTGCTCATGCTCTATCTCTCTAAAATAAACAAAATCTTAAAAATAAAAAAATTTTTTAAATAAAAATTAATAAACATTTAAAATATTTTTAAAATAAAAATAAAATTAATAGATAAAATTTTAAAAATAAAAAATATCTTTTTAATGAAAAGAAAGGCCCCTCTGATAAGGTGGCGCTGGAGCAGAAACGTGGACAAAGCGAGAAAACAAGCCAAGTGACTATTTGGGAGAAGAGATTTTCAGCCACAGGGTACCACGGGGACAAGGCAGGAAGTAGGAGGATACTTGGAATATCTGAAGAACAGCCTAGTAGTGGCCGTGTGACCAGAAGAGTGTAAAAGGGAGAAGAGCAGCAGATGAGGTTGGGGAGTTTGTCAGGGATCAGAACGCATAGAGCCTCAAAGTCCATGTAAGGCATTTGCAGTGTACTCTGAATAAGGTGGGAACTGTCGGTGGGGTTTGATCAGGTTTTTTTTTTAATTAATTATTTAATTAATTTATTTATTTATTTATTTATTGTTCTGTTTTAAAAAGGACGACTCTGGGTGGCTCCGTAGTTAAGCGTCTGCCTTCGGCTCAGATCGTGATCTCAGGGTCCTGTGATCGAGCCCCGCATGGAGCCCCGTATCGGAGCCTGCTTCTCCCTCTCCCACTTCCCCTGCTTGTGTTCCCCTCTCTCGCTGTGCCTCTGTCTTTTTTAAAAAAAAAAAAA